TGTGAGTAGCAGACAAGTCATCCTTGTTTCATGTCTAGTATCCTGCTATGAGTGAGTACATACCATGTTTGTCTTTCTGAGTCTGGGTTACCTCACTCAGGATGATTTTTTCTAGATCCATCCATTTGTCTGTAAACCTCATGATGCCATTGTTTTTCTCTGCTGAGTAGTATTCCATTGTGTATATGTACCACATTTTGTTTATCCATTCTTCAGTTGAAGGGCATCTGGGTTGTTTCCATGTTCTGGCTATTACAAACAATGCTGATATGAACATAACTGAACAAGTGCTCTTATGGTGTGGTTGAGCATTTCTTGGGTATATGCCCAAGAGTGGTATAGCTGGATCTTGGGGGAGATTGATTCCCAATTTTCTAAGAAAGCGCCATATTGATTTCCAAAGTAGTTGTACAAGCTTGCATTCCCACCAGCAGTGGACCAATGGCTGAGGGGTCCCCACTGGATCAGGCCCTCTGAATGGATGAGACAGTTGATTGGCTTGATCTGTTTGGGAGGCATCCAGGCAGTGGGACTGGGTCCTGTGCTCATTGCATGAGTTGCTGTTTGAAACCTGGGGCCTATGCAGGATTGTTTGGCTCGGCCTGGGAGGAGGGGACTAGACCTACCTGGACTGAGTCTACCAGGTTGACCTCAGTCTGTGGGGAAGGCTTTGCCCTGGAGGAGATGGGAATGGGGGGGGGGGGGGGGTTGGGGGGAAGGTGAGGGGGACGGGAGGGGGGAGAACAAGGGAATCCGTGGCTGATATGTAGAACTGAATTGTATTGCAAAATAAATTAATAAAAAAAAAAAAAGAAATAATCAAAGTCAAAGCAGAGTTAATGAAATAGAAACAAAGAAAACAATACAAAGAATCAATAAATCTAAGAGCTGGTTCTTTGAGAAGATAAACAAAACAACAGACCCTTGGCTCAAGTAACCAAGAGAAAGAAAGGGAGAACCAAAATTAACAGAATCAGAAATGAGCAACGAAACATTACAACTATTCCTAAAGAAATTCAGAATAAGGGAATATTCTTAACGACTGTATTCCATTAAGTTGGAAAACTTAAAAGAAACAGATGAATTTCTAGAGCCATCCAAATCACCAAAGTTAAATCAAGAAGAGATCAACAACCTCAGTAAACTCGTAACATCCGAGGAGATCGAAACAGTAATAAAAACAATTCTGACTGAAAAAAGCCCAGACCCAGATGGATTCACAGCAAAATCCTAGACTTTGAAAAAAGGTCTATAGCCAAACCTTAAACTATTAAAAAGCAAACAACCACAAACACAAGGAGCACCCAAACTCATTCTATAAAGCCAGTATCACTCCAACACCAAACCAAAAAAACCTACAGATGCAATAAAACACCAGCAAACCAAATACAGACACATATCAAGACCATCCGCCATGATCACGATGGCTTTATGAAGGATGTTTCAACATATGGAAGTCAGTAAATGTAATAAATCATATAAATGGACTTGAATATCATACGATCATCTCAACAGATGCAGAAAAAAACTGACAAAATCCAATGTTCTTTCATGATGAAAAGTCCTAGAGGGAATAGGATTGGAGGGACTAGACCCTGACGTAATAAAGGCTGTATATGACAACCCACGGCCAGCATCTCTCTAAATGAAGAAAAACTCAAAGCTATCCCATTAAAATCAGGAGCGAGACGGGGCTGCGCACCGCCCCCACTTTTTCAGCACACTGCTGGAAGCACTGACTGGAGCAGGAAGGCAAGAGAAGGAAATTAAAGGGAGACAAAGAGGGACCGAGGTCAGATTATCCCTAATTACAGACAGGATTTCCCATGTCAAAGTCTCCGGGTGGACAGGCCTTTTGTGTGCTTTCACTGTATGGCATGGGAAGAAGTCACCTACAGGACTTCTAAATTCATTTTAATCTATTTTTTATTAGTTTAAAAAGGATTAGTTTTTATTGTGGGTTTTTTTTTCCCCAACAAAATTTGCTTTTTAGGACCTTCGTATCTTATAAATACCTTTTCTTTGCCTTCTATCAATCACTTTTACAAGGTTCCATGGGTTTTCCAAAAGAATAGGCCTAGTGTTACGATGGATAAAAAGCATCTAGGTTAGATGACACCGTCTTCCTCTTGCCTTCTTGGATTTTGAAGGTTGTTTTTTCCCCTCCCGCCTCAGCTCCCAGCACTGGGACTGCAGGCATGCTCGGCCATCCCAACACCTCTTCCTTATCTTGACCAAGTGAAAGTTCAGAGGGATCTGACTCTAAGTTTTTAAATTGTTATATAGTAAAACTTGTTTCTGTGGTATAGAGTTCTCCACATTTTAACACATGTTAGTGGATCCATGCTACCAGCAGCCTCAATCAGACTATAGAACAATTCACTGCCAGTGTCCCTCCCCAACAAAAACCAGGGTCTCTCCTTTGAGACGCCCAGACCCATGTCTCCCTTTCTTCTGAATGCCTTTCTCATAGCCCTCGCACTTAAAATCTGTGTCGAAAATCTCTTCACAGATATGCACCCAAGCACACACAATATATTAAGAAATGTAATGAAAGTATTTTTTAAAGTAAGGGGACAAGATGGCTAAGTAGGTTAAGGCACTTGCTGCCAATCCTGGTTCCCTGGAACTCCCATGTCGGAGGAGAGAACCAACTTCCAGTTGTCCTCCGACCTCCACACTTGTGCCATGGCACACAGACACCCATACATAAGATAAATGTAATAATTAAAAAGTAACAGAGTTCAACTTGCTTCAAAAATCAACAGTCCCCCCAAACAAAACATCAAAGCCCTCCTTTGCATAGATAGCATGGGCACTTTAAGGCAGGCAGCTTAAGTCCGCTAAGCTGGGACCACCTCGGTTTGGGGTTTGGGTTGTGCACACAGCACTCTATTAATGACGCATGCAGGAGCCTGGGCGCCTGACCCGAATGCACGGTCCACACATACCCATCCCTGGGTAAGGTGCCCAGAACCTGTCAGCAACAGTTGTTTCTGCCACGAGCAGCACACCCACCCACTCCAAACACTGGAGTTTCTCCTCTCCTTAATGCCAACAAAGCTGGCACACTTTCAAGAGCTGGTTTACTTATTTTAAGATCTATTTTTATGAGTGTTTTGTCTGCCTGTATATCTGTGCACCACATACATGAAGTATCCCCAGAGGCTGGAAGAGGGGGTCAGAGCCCCTGGAACTGGAGTTATAGAAGGTTGAGCTGTTATGTGGACACTAGGAACTAAATCCAGGTCCCTCTGCAAGAGCTGCAAGTGCTCTAAACTGCTGAGAGAGCATGCCACAGCACACTTGCAGGGGTTCTTTCCTCCCACCAGGTGGGGTCTAGGGCTTGAAGCAGGTCACCAGGGTTGGTGGCAAGTGCCTTTACTCACCGAGCCATCTCACCAGCCCAGTCTTGGACAGTTCCAATTCAAACTTATTCCCAATCAATCCTGGTCCAGAATATGAGGGCCAATCCAGCCAGAACTGGGTGTATGCAAAGCTAGGTCTCCAGATGAACTTTGAGGGAGACTCTCTTACTTGCCATCTTATGCCTGTGAATAATTGGAATGTGTGTATATGATTAAAAGCAGATGCATTATGGGAAGGGATATGTGAGTGAACAAAGGATGTCAATCAAAGTAAGAGAATCATCTAAACTATGCTCCTAATAACCAAACTCCTCCCTTTTTAAACCCCACAAAACAAAGCTCATCTTCACCCCCATGACTTCCCTGTAATGTATTTGGACCTGGTCTATGACTTTGCTATTTCACAGGCTTTGTAGGCCTTTATTTGCTTAGTTTTATTCTTGAATGAGAGGCCAAGAACCTGCACACACCCAGCACAGTCTGACCACTGGTAGCACATTTGGCAGAGCTAGCCAAGAGGTAAGAAAACAATTCTTCCCTATCTTAAGGCTGAACTAGCAAGCTTGGCTGGAAACCTCGCCAGTGGCTTTTGGCGGTCTAACCTGAGCTCCTTGACCACAGCAGACAACAGATGTTTTAAAGACGGGAGCAGCCACGCAACATGGTGGAGAGAGGTTCTCATTTCGGGAGGGAGCTTATTTCCTGTGAGAAGAAAAGTCTGGTGTTCCCACCTTTACTGTGTGTCTCTTCCTTTAAACCACCTGCCTGTCTCTTCACACAAGCTTGAGAACTGTTCAAGCAAAATCGCAGCATAAATCATCCTCTTCATGTCCAAATTTCAGCAACAGACACTCCATAATTTAGACACATGTGAAATTAAAGAGAAAGCAGGAGAAATTGAAAAAGGGGGAAAAATTTTAAAAATTAAAAAAATAAAATCTAAGCAGCCCATTAGGTTCTACTTCAAAGAGCAGAAAGAATCCCAAAGGAAGGCGGGGACCTCAGCGCTTAATTTCAGGAAGAGTAAAACCCGGTGGAGTGACTGCAGATCCAGGTAAGACCCAAGGGAGAAGCGGAAGGAAAGGAGAGGGAAAGAGGAGGAGAGAAAACAGGCAAGTGGCTGCAGCTGGGCTTTGCGGGAGCCTCTCCCATCCTGGCCTGTGAATCACAGGGACGACTCAGAAAGACCGACAGAATGCCAGAATCTGGTCCTGGGGGAAAGTGGGTGAATTCCCAACAACGGCTGCATCACCCAAAACAGAGATGGCGAGGAAGCAGAAGATGGACAGTGCCTCCCCTGTTTCTGCTTCTTAAAATGGAACCTAACTTGGGAGGTGGAGGTTGGCCATGAGCTCAATTTCAGCCTGAACAACGCAAGTTCAAAGTCATCTTGGTCTACATAAGACCCCATTTCATGAAAACAAATCAGGCTAAGCAGATGATAGAGATTAGATTCCTAAGGATTTTGAGGCGGCTCACCTACATACACCAGTGGAAATCCTTAGATTAGTAATAAGTCTGAGAAACAGAAAAAATCAGAAAGAAACAGATAAAATATGTAAAAATGATTATATGCTGTTAGAGTGAGCAGACAAGGAGATCAAAGTGGAGAGCTTGAAATTAAGTCCATACCTGAGAATCTCTTCTCGATGATGACAAATCTAAAAAAAAAAAAAAAAGTGTGCTGTGGGTACTGAGAATCAAACCCAGGTCCTCTGGAAGAGCACCAAGTGCTCTTAACCACTGAGCCATCTCTTCTGCCCCTGACAACTTTTTAAAAAAGCTTACACACATGTACACAAAGCCTTACAGTTATTTCAGGGCAGATGAGATGGCTTACCAGGTAAAAGTGTTACTTATGCAAGCCTGGTAACCTATGTTTGCTCCCTGGAATCTATGTAAAGATAGAGGTGAATAGACTCCACAAAGCTGTCCTGACCACCGCCCCCCGACACATACCATGACACTATGTATTGTGTTCCCCAATAAAATTTACCTGAGGATCAGAGGAAAAAGCCAGCCACTATATTAAACATATAAGTTAGGCAAGGTAGCACAAGCCTTTAATCCTATCACTCAGGAGGCAGGGATCTGTCTGGATCTCTGAGTTCAAGGCCACACTGGGAACAGAGCCAGGCATGGTGGTACACATCTTAAATTCCAACACTAGTTAACTATGGAGGTCTAGAGGTCTGTACAGACAGACAGGAAGTGACAGAGCTGGGTAGGAAGAGGAATTGATATAGCTGGACGGAGAGAGCAAATGATATAGGAGAACAGAAAGGCATACAGTGTGGATATACAGGAAGTAGGTAGACTTCTTTGGAGACCGAGGTGTCAGTGAGGTGAGGTTAGCTTGTGGCTTTTCCTATTCCTCTGATCGCTCACGTTTTCACCCCTATATCTGGCTCTGTGTTTTTATTTAATAAGTCCATTTAGCAATTCACCTACACATGGGCACCCCAAAAGAAGACACACACCACCACCACCACCACCACACACAAAGTAAAAGTTTAAATATTTTTTTTAACATTTAAGATTACTCCATTAAAAATTTTAAGCATAGAAAACAAAAGAGGCTAGGTGTGGTGGCTCATGCCTGTACCCCTAACTTTCAAAAGGCAGAGGAGACCTGCTGTAAAGTCAAGGGGAGCCAGCGATGCACACTGAGAGTTTCACAACGCAAATGAGGAAGCTAGGCAGAAGGCTCAGAAGTTAAAAGCTCTTGCTCTCACAGAGGTCCAGCACCCAGATGGTGGCTCACAACCATTCACAACTCCAGGGTCAGTGGACCAACCACCTTCTTCTGACCTCCGTGGGCATCAGGCATAAATATATGCATGCAGATAAAACATTCAAACACATAAAATAAATACATCTAAAATCTCTTTTCTCAACAAACAAACAAAACTGAAAAGCAAAACCAAATTACAGGTGTGCTGATATATTTATAATTCCAGGAGGGTGAGGAGTAGGAGAGGAAAGGGCTGTGTAAGATACAGCTCAATGACAGTGACATCTACTGTGTACAAGGCCCTGGCTTCATTCCATAGTACCCTTGTACACACACACACATACACACCACACTAAAATAACACAACAATGAAACAACAAAAAATTCCAATTAACGAACAACAGCAGCAACAACAAAAACACTGGGCATAGTAGCACACGCTTTTAAAACCAGCCCCAGGGTTAAAGAAAAGTAGGGAAAACTCACCTGCACTTCCATAGCAAAGCTAACGATCTAAAATGTAAACCTTGACATTTGGGGCTGCGGTTCAATCCTGAAATCCCTAGTACCACAAAGCTAAAGATAAAACTGAAACTCATACACGTAATTCCAGTTTTCTGCTCCCTTCCCCTCCCCCCCAGGCATCGCAGACTGTAAGAGCCTCTGTGGTCTTCCTGGCCTCTGCCTGTATGACTCCAGTGAGCGAATGCATATGTCTACAGTTGGTTCTGTACCCGAGTATGCTGCTCCCCATCTTAGGTGTCTCCTCACTTCATGTCCTTAGTCACCAGAATCTACCCAGTTGGCTAAGATTTTACGAAGGATGTGAGGTGATCATTTTTAGATGAAGATACAACCTTTGTTCTTTTTAGATGGCCTCCATCCTCCACAACTAATTTATTGGCATTGCCACTATGGAACAGAACACTGTATTAAGACATCTGCTTGTGTCTCCCCTTCTGCTGAAGGGCTACAGTTTTTCCCATCCCTGTGACACTCAGTCCATGATTAATGAACTCACAGCCTCCTTAACAATCAGGCAGGGCTGTCTACAAGAGAGCCTAAGGCCGGGCTTTTCTCACATCTCAACTCCAGCTCAGTCTAGCTGGAGGAAAGGATTTATCTGTGTTTTACCAGGCAGGGATAATTAGCCTAGAAGTAAGTTCATGCTCCTCCACCCTCTGCCCAGATGCAGTAAGGGACAGATGTGCCTCTGATGGCCCTGCTCTTGCACTAGCTTTTCTTTGGCATCTTCCTTGAGCTATCTTGTTCCTAAGTGGGAAACAGGATAATTACATGATTTAGAACACTGGATCCAGTCCAAGTTTCACCTGTACCACCTATTTCTAAGCTGTTACAACCTTGGGCCGTTCATATACTGTTTCCTCAAATTAATTTATAAATGGCCTAGTAAACCCTTACTAAAGCTGTTGCATACTTAACCATAGTTAAGGGCCTAGAAAGATGTCAGATGCACTGGCTGGGAATTAGGATATGCCAAGCAGATTCCGGCCAGGTGACTCCTCCTCCTCCTCCACTTGACCAAATGTTGCAGCCATTGAGTTCTCCCCACCCCTACTCTTACTGTTTTTTCTCCTCCACACAGTAGCAGGACCAGAAAGTGACTTGTAAAGTGTTTCCAGCTCTGTATTTTAAGATATCACACACCATAATAAAAACATAAGAAAATTTATTAAAATTTGAAGGCAAAATCATAATTTCAAAGGTTAGACCTATGTCAGGTGTGCTGATGAATGGATGTTTTCCTGGCATTCAAAATCAGACCCAAGAGTATCACTTTCAGAATGTTCTAGAGGATTGGGTTTACTTTTGATTGTCTTGGATGAGACAGTCATTATTCTGTTTTCTTTCTTGACAGAAATGTGGTTTTTCAAAGATTCACTTTTAATTGGCTCATTAAGCAAAGACCTTTTGTCCCCGATTCCTTTGCTTTTTGAGTTCACGGGAGAGTCAGGGTCGGAAAGGGGGTCTTTCCCGGAGTGTTTCTCAGAGGAGAGCTTTCTGGAGTATTCGTTCGTCAAGCTCCCTTTCTCTGAAGATCTGCTGTGTTTGGAAGACACCATTTCTTCCCTTTGACTCCCACTTCCAGAAACGCCATCTGCTGAAGGAGAGGCTGTTCTAGCAGTGAGTCCTGCTGCAGACCCCTCCTGCTGCTCAGGGTTGGCTCTGGAAGCTACCAATGCTGCTGGTGCAGAAACGGGAACTTGGAAGGTGTCGAGAGGCAAAGGAATCCTAGCATCACTTCTAATCTTCTGAAACTACAAGGAAAACAAGGCTTCAGTGAACAAAGCCGGCCACAAAAGAGCTCAAAACTTCACCGAAACTGATTCTTTCACATTTACTTTCAGTGTCTTTAGTTAGGGCTGTATATGTGTAATGTGTACATGACTGCAGAGGCCAGAGGAGGGCACAGGATCCCCTGGAGCTATAGCTACAGGTGGTTGTGAGCCACCCAACATGGGTGCCAGCGACTCTACTCAAGTCCTGTGGAAGAACAGCAGCTCTCGTATGTAAGCCAGGCCAACTCTCCGGCCCTGTAATTGTGATCTTAGTAAGCAGCCAGTTCACCTCTCAGAAGACTTTATGGTCATTCACTTTCCTAATTATGCAATGCCATGTGACTGGCAACTCCTCTAAATTTAGTTATATGTATATCTAAAGTTAGCTGTACAGTATTTCTACAATTTTGTGTTTTATATGATTGTCTTCCATTTTTCACATTACAAAACAAAGTAAAACCATTTCTGAGGAACCTAGTCCCTAGCCTCTCTGCTTATGTGAGAAGTATCCCATGTGTGATATGACCGAGTTCTCAAGCCAGCAGCTCCTCAGACAGTCTTAGATTGTCTGCTGGGAGATGAGCCCTTGGTGAGCCTCGGGGGGTTCTGTGACAGGCAGCCCACCTCATCCACTAAGCGGGCGACTATGAGGTACTGCTTGCTAAGTCTGTCTAGATTACTTGGCTTACAAGCTCTCTGCATCAGTCCTGGTACCTTCATCAGTGTCCCTTCATTGTAAGCTGACTGCATACAGATAGAGACCTAGACGGGACATGAATACAACAGACATTTACAAAACTTTCAATTCCCATTGTCTCTTTACTCTTTCATTTCTTTCTTTATTGAAGATAATTTTTAAGTATAAATTATCAAAAACCTTCCAGTTTTGTCTTTTTTTCTTCTTTTTTTGAGATAAGGTCTCATTTTATAGCCTTGACTGGTCTGAACTCCCTACGAAGACCCAGGCTGGCCTTAAACGCAGAGACACCTGCCTGTCCCTGCCTCCCAAGGGCTGGGATGAAAAGCATGCGCCACCATACCTGGCCCCGTTTTCTTATTGATAACGATGCAGTTTCAGGAAATGGGCACAAACTTTACTCTGCCAGAGACAGACTAACACTACTTTCCCTGACCTGCGGAACTCTTGCTAGTGACTTGCACCAAGGTCTCTCGGGTCCACTTACTTGGATGTTCTGCATCTGTCCTACAGCAGTCTGCTTCGGATCCAGCTTTTCTTCCTCGAGGGCTCTCTGTTCTTCCACAGGTGCACTAACAGTGGAATTCATCTGAGGGCGACCTAGCAAGTGGAAATCTGACTGATCTATACCAGCCATAGTGGCAAGCTGCCCAAGCCTGGAGAGAGGAAGAAAGGAGGAAAAGGCAATCACTTGGCAACAACTTAAATTCACCCACACCTACAAGCATTAAATACATGTATAAATGAACACCAAGATTTAAAATCTGAGAAGCCAAGAGCCTACGTCAGACAACAGCCCCATGCCACCGCTGCCTCAGACTCATGCTGAGACCACTGGGTCAGATCATCCAACCGCTGCCTCGGACTCATGCTGAGACCACTGGGTCAGATCATCCAATCCTTCCAGCGCCCCTATTCACCTCAATGATTCATTAAATAATAGCAACCATCACTCCATCATTTTAAATACTGTTTCAACAGCTTCAGCCTCTACCATCTCCATGTATCTGACTCTCTTTTCTTCGCTTCACTCTTTTCTAACATCAGCCTATCCCCTAAAACACTGCTCCATCCACTACCTTCAGCTCTCCCTTTTACTATCTTTTCAATTTGATTTTGAGATTCATGAAGAACAAGCTGAACTCAAAATTTCTATGCTGTTAAGGGTTACTTTGAACTCCTGATCCCCCACCCTCCACCACCAGGTGCTGAACCTCAGGTGTGCGTCATACCTGACTAACATCTTCTTTTGACCCTACTATTCTCAGGTGAGAACTCTGACCTATTCCTGTGTCTCCAGCACCCTGGAGATTAACTACCGTCCTAAGGCCTAGGGACAAGAAGAACCCGGCTCCAACTTATTTAACAAGCAAAATGAATAAAAGGCAAGAAAGCTCCTATTATTTTAAATATTTTCAATAAAAATCCTTCACTTAGTCTTTCTTTTTTGTAACACATCAAGGAGTATATTACAGCAGATAAAGCTGTACACAATTCAAATGCCCAAAGACATTAATTTAGTCTCCACCAAGATAAATTACGCTTTATTACCTTTTAATGATGAGTTTTCTAATGAGATAGGTTTACCATTTTGCATTTCTTTTAAAAGGCATTCTCCATTAAAAAACAAATCAAACTTATTGTTGATAATCACATATTAATACATCTCATGGAAGCTAAGAAGTGTTGAGTTCCTCAGCAAGCTACAATAAAGCCACTGAAGAAAGAATGCCCACCCTACAGATATACCCAGCATCTTTAAGGAGGTCCAGGAAAGCGTGAAACTTCTGAAAAGAATTCTCAATGCTGCCCAAGACGCCTTCATCGTCCAGGATCATGTTTGTTAACGACTGTGCATGAAGGGCTTCAGACAAGGAGAAATTTATGTTTCTTAGCTGAGCATTTTCATGTTCCAGCTACAAAACAAGGTTGAGAATGCACAGTGTAATTTCAATCTAAAGAAAACTTTTCAACACCTAAACTAAAATATTTAAAAATGTAACTAATTTATAATTAATCTAACCCTCAATCAATGAAGAGAATAATCATGACACATAATAATCTTCCACCTGGAGACATTTGTTGAAATTTCCTATATAACAAGTAGATAAAAATAGTTACTGTCTTACTAATGATTTTCCACACATCATATCCCTAACTGTTTAAATTCATACTGAATCATTGTGTATCAGAGAATCAGCTACCTAAGGTTCACTTTTTATTAGAAAATACAACAGCAGACCAAATAAAATTATGATCCTGCTATAATTAGTCCATTATGGATTAATTTTAACAAGCTGTGGTGGTTTGAAAGAAAATGGCCCCTATAGAGAGTGGTACTATTAGGAGGTGTGGCCTTGTTGGAGGAAGTGTGTCGCTGTGGGGCGGGCTTTGAGGTCTCCAGGCTCAAGCTACACCAGGTGTCACAGTTGCTTCCCGTTGCCTGGAGAATCACAATGTAGACCTCTCAGTTCCTTCTCCAGCACCATGTCTTCCTCCACACCGCCATGCTTCCCACCATGATGATAATGGACTAAACCTCTGAAACTGTAAGCCAGCCCCAATTAAACGCTTTCCTTATAAGAGTTGCCGTGGTCATGGTGTCTCTTCACAGCAATAGAAACTAAGACACAAGCCAAACAATTTTTCTACATGTATGTCTATGTGTTCACACATGGGCGTGTGCATGGGCCACAATAGACATGTGGAAGTCAAGAGGACAACTCTTGAGAGTCAGTTCTCTCCTCCCATCATGTAGGTTGCTGGGCTTGGCAGCAAGTGCCTTTACCCACTGAGCCATCTTGCCGGCCCCCAGGTATATTTATTGTGTTTATGTTAAAGTCTTTAACTGCACAGCTACACTCTCCACTTTCTTGAGCAATTCTCTGTGGCTTCTTGCTCTCTTCATCTGTTCATGTAACACTACATCAAATCTAACCCTGGCATTTCTCAGAAAGGCAAAATGTTCTCGATGTATTTTTGCCTTCTATAATGCAGTGCTTAATACTTAATGAATGAACACACATGTCTTTAAATACAATACACACATTTTGAAGAGTCTTCCTTACATTCACTTTGTAGAGAAAACTACTTGTAAAACTTGTTAGTTTAATGCAAATTAGTTTAACTGTGTAGTTCAGTGCTCACGGTATAGACTTTTATCTCCCAAGGCACACTTAGGAGCTTTTCATTATCTTAGACTTCTAATTTTGTCTTTTAAAAGAAACCAACAACTAACCAAGTCTGGCCAGGTATAACCCCCTAGCCTTAGCCTTCCAAGTACCAGCCCTATAGCCATGTACCACAATGCCCATCCTCTTGAGACCATCCTTTTTAGATCATTTGCTTTCCTAATTCACTGTAAGAAGACAGCCTTACCAACACTTTTGTTATACACACAGTATAAGCCTAATGAATACATTTCATATGTGGCAGTCAAAAGCCTGGGGGGAGGGGCAAGCTACTTCTTACATTTTTTAAAATACACTTTTTGGAATATAATCACATAGCACTAAATGGATGTAAGGTTAAAATGATGCGACTCAGCTCCCAAATGCCTTATCATTTTGAAGTATTTTAAAGTTTATTAAGTATAGAACTTGAAACCAAAACAAAGCCAACAAATAACTCTGAAAATAGGAGAAAAAGACTTACTTACCTCACTGACTCGCTTGTCAGCCTTAAGCCGGCTCACCCTTTCCTCCTTTAACTGCACTAGGCATTCCTCCAGTTTCTCCTAGTAGGAAGAAATGGAGCAGACATGGCAGTTAAGGTAAACGCTGATCCCTCAACACTCCCAGCTGCATAGTCCACAAAGAACTCAGGGGCAGACCCAGAAGTAACCTCGGACTGCAGGATGACATATGTCCCTACTTGTACACACACCAGCTAGTGCAGTTAATTATTAAAATGTATCAAATTAGCACATTACAGATTCACTTAAATCCCACTCAACTTGAGCTGCAGTGCTTACCATAAAAAGCACAGGCATATAACAAGAGTTAGTGAACCACCAGTAAGAAATTAAAGCCATGAAGGGGAATTTTTTCTTACTTACGGGTTTCTGAGTTCCTCATAATAGAAAACTCAATAGCATTCTTTTTTTATTTATTTTTTGTTTTTCAAGACAGAGTTTCTCTGTGTAGCTCTGGCTGTTCTGGAACTCACTATGTAGACCAGACTGGCCTCACAGAGATCCACCTACCTCTGCCTCCCCAGTACTGGGATTAAAGGCATGCGCCACCACCACCTGGCTCTATAACATTCTTTTTTTTTTTTTTTTTTTTGGAGCTGAGGATCGAACCCAGGGCCTTGCGCTTGCTAGGCAAGCACTCTACCACTGAGCTAAATCCCCAACCCCTAACATTCTTAACATAACTGAATCTTGTAACTGCAACAAAAACCCATACTTCAAATGTAAACACTTTTAAAGCACTTTATTGTAAGCCAAGCATTATTCTGTTTTCTAGGTATTAAATAACTTAAGCATCAGCAACCTTCAAGACAAGAAGGAGTAACGGCTGAGGCACAGAGAACAGAGTACCACACTGTCTGTCAGCTGTGCAGCTGGCTCTGAATTCAGAGCAGGAGCAGGTAGCAGTCCTCTTCCCACAAGGGCTGACCTTACTCTTTACCAAAATCAGAAAAACGAGCTCATCATTTCAGGAACTGAGACTCTATGGTTCTTGATAATGCAGGTGTGACTGTGGTGGATAAAATCCTGAAACAGATCCTAAGATTCCCTACTGCTGGAGTAGCTCCCTAATGCCAACACTAATGCAGGAGCTGCTGTGAGGGACTATGATTAAGGCCCTCACAGCAAGTGACCTTAGGATGGGGGGGGGGGGGAATGACATCATTAGGGAACCATTTAAAAGGTATCAGGCTCTTCATGAGAAAGATTTTTAGTACAAAAGGAGTTAAGACACCAGAGATTGTATTCTCCTTACAATCTCTGAAGAGGAGATGTCCCATAGAAGATGAAGGGTCCACTGCCTGAGAAGCAGCAGGGAAATAGGCCCCAAAGAGTCGAATTACGCCAATACCAGCATGCCTGGAAGAGGATTCCTTGCCAGTCCTGCCAGATGGTTAACAGTCTGGCCCACATTGTGGTTTCGGTTTTGTGACCTGTCTGGACTTCTACTTTAGAAGTGTGAGCTTTCAAATGGGTGATATATTAAATCATCAAATTTGTAGCAACAAATTACTCAGCTTCTAGGCTTAGGAATAAAATAGGTTTAACTACTATTGTCATAAACTACTATATTTTAGTACTTGGTTGTATAATATAAACAAAATGCGTATTTATTAAAACATAACAGTATATTTTATTTAGTTAGTTCTTTTGAGACATGGTCTCACTATATAGGCCAGGGTGGCCTTACTCATGGATCCCCCAGTCTTAGCCTCACAAGTACTGTGATTACAGGTATATACCCCATACGTGGCTTTATATTTATATGTGTGAATACGCACACATGAACGTACACACGTGTGTGAGAATGCATGAAGAGGCCAGAGGTTGATGTTGGGAACTGCCCTTCATTGCTCTACTGTATTCCTTGTGGCAGGTTTCTTAATAAAATGTGGAGCTCACAAACACAGGTAGTCTTGCCCGTCAGCTTGCTCTGGGGAGTCCATCTCTACATTCCAAGGCTGGAATTACAGCTGGGCCACCACACACACCTGGCATTTATGTGGTTTCTGGGACCCAAACTCCAGTCCTTAAGCTTCCTGGCAGGTGCTTTAAACACCAAGCCCTCTCTCCAGTCAGTGGGTTTATATTTTAGAGGCTTCTGAACATTTACTTAAACACAGAATTTTAACTTAAAAGTTTAGTTTGGACCACTGAGATGGCTCAGTAGCTAAATTTCTAGGACCCACGTGGCAGCTCACAACTGTAACTCCAGTTCCAGGGGATCTGATGCCCTTTTCTGGCCTTGTTGGGTACTAGACATACATGTGGCACACATATACACATGAATGCAAAACATTCATACACATAAAATAAAAAAAACTTAAGTAATGTTACATTTTTAAGGAAAACAGAGATATAAAATATGAGTGTGGGCACACAGCTGTTTTCCTTTCAACAAATTGTTTTAAGATAGTTCCTCAATGGAAAATTGAGTACTTTTACATTCAGATTATAAATTCTGAATACTACTAAATGCTTTAATAATGTCAAAATCATTTTCTCCTTAAAGACTGATCTTTTAAAATCTTTTTTTTTTTTTTACCTTTTTAGAGCTTTATTGGGGGGGGGGAAGAGAGACAGAGAGAGAAAGACACAGAAAGAGAGAGAGACAGAGAGACAGAGAGACAGAGACACGGGGGGGGGGGAGTGGGGGTTGGTCGGGGGGAAAGAGCGGAAAGGAGAGGGGACAGTAAAATCTTTTACTATGCATGTGTGCGGAGTGGATTTCTGCATGTGTGTCCAGTGAACGCAGAGGGCAGAAGAGCACACTGGGTCCCCGGGAACTGGCATTAGAGGTGGTTGGGAGCCACCCGACAAGGGTGATAGGAACTGAACTCAAGTCCTCTGTAAGAGCAGGACATGCTCTGAGCTTCTGAGCCCTCTCTCCACAGACAAGACTAACCTTTTCTAAAAAGAAAATGTTCAGTCCATTTTATGGCATGCTGTGTGTGTGTGTGTGTGTGTGTGTGTGTGTGTGTGTGTGTGTGTGTGTGTGTGTGTTTGTGTGTGTATGTGTGTGTGTGAGAGAGAGAGAGAGAGACAGACAGACAGACAGACAGACAGACAAACATGTGCCACAGTGCATACATGGAGGTCAGAAACAACTTCCCTTCCACCATGAGGTTCCTGGGACTAAACAAAGGTCCTGAGGCCCAGCAGGAGGCACCTTTGCCTGCTGAGCCATCTCATTAGCACAATCATGCTCTTTACTGTTAAACTAACCAAGCTTTCACGGAAAAGGAGGAAAAGGCTTTGCAAACGCCTCTACTTATGATTCACATAACGGTTTTAACACAGTACTGCTGGAGAAAGGAAACTACACTTTGCCTTTGCTTTGCAAGCCACTGTTGTTACTGGGCCTGCTTACAGGGCACGGATGAGGGGTTAAAGGGCGTGAGAGACTGCGTAACAGCGGCAGCACTGCAGAGCTCCACCCACTCAGCAGCAGTCTCCACATCTCCGTTTCTGACTGGCTCTCCACAGCACAGCCAAGTGCGATGACACGAGACAGCTTCTCCCCCTAGTGGGGGAATCAGACACAAGTCACATTTGTATAAAATGTTCCTTCTCTGGGCACTCTTCCTGAGAGAGTGGCTCACTGTGTAGCTATGTCTGGCCTCTGTGGTGATATTTTTCTTGTGCTCTAATAAATAAAGCTTGCCTGGAGATCAGAGGAAAAAGCCAGCCATTATATTAAACAGAAGTCAGGCAATGGTAGCACACGCCTTTAATCCTATCACTTGGCAGGCAGGGATCTGTCTGGATCTCTGTGAGTTCAAGGCCACACTGGGGAACAGAGCCAGGCATGGTGACACACGCCTTTAATCCCAGCACCAACCATAGAAGTGTGGAGGTCTGTACAGACAGACAGGAAGTGACAGAGATGGGCAGGAAGAGGAAGTGATGTAGCTGGACTGAGAGAGCGAATGAGAGAACAGAACAGAAAGGCATACAGGCGTGGGTAGGTCTCTTTGGAAGCTGCAGAGTTGGTGAGGGGAGGTTAGCTCAGGTTTTCACCCCTGTATCTGGCTCCTTGTTTTTTATTTAATATAACCATTTAGAAATTCGTCTATAGGTCTCAAACTCTCCATCCTCCTGCCTCAGCCTCCTGAGATTTACAGGTGTGCATCAAATAGACATTTTTAAGGCCCTGAAATACTTGTATCCCAACAGCTTTCTGATATTGTCCTAGGATTTGACACTGCTAACATCAACACAGCCTATCACTAAACTATGATACATCACGTCTACTATGACTACTAACTAACTTTCCCATGTAAGCTTCAAGATGTGTGAAGGAGAGAAACGTATTTTATTAAGCATTTATCTTATCACCTGTGCCTAGCACAAAGTAAGCAAGCAATAAATAATGAAGAAGCCTTGGCCACAGAAGATGTGTTTAAGAAAGTAGTTTTTGCCGGGCGGCGGAGGTACACGCCTTTAATCCCAGCACTCAGGAGGCAGAGCCAGGCGGATCTCTGTGAGTTCGAGGCCAGCCTGGTCTACAGAGCAAGATCCAGGACAGGCACCAAAACTACACAGAGAAACCCTGTCTCAAAAGAATATAATTTTCTTCAAATGAACAGGTGGAAACATGCTCTCTTCCTTCAATCTCCATTTCTTTGCTTATTAGTTAGTAAAGTTTGGTTTTTGATTATTTTTTCCTAAAAACGGAAGATTCTTTGGTACAAAGTCCTGGCCCACTAGCTGTAAGTCTGGGTCCTGATTTCCTCATTGATAGACTGGAGATAAACACATGATGAGTAAGTGAATTAACACAGATACAAGCTCAGAAGAGTGCTTGGAATATATAATTGATCAATGCAAAAATGAATAAATATGTGAATCCAATTAAGACAGACAAGCTTATAATCAAACAGTCTGTTCCCACTCACACATTCAGTACTCCAGGGCAGCCACACCTAAGGCAGGATTTTAACCATAAAATACTGATATGCCAAAATGTGCCTAGAACAGAGTCATCAGAGAATACTCACTCACATAATGACCACCTAAGACAACTGCCAGAACCACCCTCAGACCATCAGGGAGCAGCTCCGACTTGGTCACATTTCTAACTGGACAGTGGAGCGGAGTTAGTGCCCTCCAAGCTGCAGGCTGCCCCAGTGCTTACTCCAAGTGATGGCTCCCCATACTGTGATTGGCTCAGTTACGTTTCTCTCCCCGCACCTCCTTCCCCTTGTAGTTAAGTGTGAATCCCTTCTACTCTCTTTAGTATGGGCTTACACGTTTTAGCTGATTCTCAACATGAAGAAATGCTGAGAAGGTCCTCGATACACCTTGAGTAAGAAGCTGTCCGGCTGCAGTTCCTAACCTTGTCTTCCTCAGTGACTAGAGACACTTTTGATACATTATCTCCTGGGCTGGGTCACAGCAGTAGAAAGCTTGCCTATAGCATGCATAAAGTGTGGTCTCTAGCATTTCAAATAAATAGAAGGCAAATACAGAATGACCCCACAAAACCAGCCACCCCCTCTCTTAGACCTGGGGTGAAGGAAACCAACACAACACACTGAAAACGACGTGGAAGGTTTGATGCCCAGGAACTTTTACTTCCCGCTGCATCTTAGTTAGCAGGAAGCCACCCCGGCACTAACTGCAGGCGCTGAATCCCAGGATGAGAAGTGTTCCCGAACGGTCCACACAGGTTCTCTCCCAAGAATCTGTAGTTTTCTAAGTGATTACTTTCGTAATCTCTATACAAGCATTGTGAATTTTTTTTTTTTTTTTTTTTTTTGGTTTTTCGAGACAGGGTTTCTCTGTATAGCTTTGCGCCTTTCCTGGAACTCACTTGGTAGCCCAGACTGGCCTCGAACTCACAGAGATCCGCCTGGCTCTGCCTCCCGAGTGCTGGGATTAAAGGCGTGCGCCACCACCGCCCGGCTGCATTGTGAATTTTAACTTAAGAAAATGAAGTTGTGGCAGTTATCACTGGGGGTAGGACTGAACCTAGGGCACTGTGTGCTTCCCACCAAAGGGGTTTATGATTAAGCTATATCCCCTAGTTGGCTTTAAAATTTTTAAATCAAATACTGATGGCTGCAATCATATACATATAAAAAAATAGGTAATTGCCCTTCAACCATGCAATGACATTTTGAGAAGCAGGCATCTGTGAACTAGAAATCTGGGCCCTTACCACAGCACACCTTGATTTTGGATGTCCTGGCTCTCAGAAATGTGAAAATATAACCTCTGCTGTTTTAAACCATTGAATACAGAAGTAACAAATGGAGAGCCATTTCTAGATTTAGAAGTTCTATGCTGAGGCAGCACCAGTTTTAGGCAGCCACTGTTGGGCTTGTGGTGTGGCTCAGTGGTAGTATGCTGAACAGCATGAGGCTCCGTCCCCTAATTACATGTGAGTGACATAACACACAAGGAAAGCCAAGAGCTTCCTAAAGACGAGGTCTCCCACAACTTACTACAAACCAGCAAAGAAAACAGTATGCTGAAGCACAAAAATGTGCTATGGAAGTAATTTTCCCTTCTGTCTACCCAACAGAAAAATGGAAAGGCACTAGATGCCGGGTTTTAAAGTGTAGTTTCTTAATTTTTTAATATCGTGAAAGGGGAATATCAGTAGCAAAAGTTTTTCCAAAGCCGGGTGTGGTGGCTGACATGGGAGGTTAGGAAAAGACCAGGAATCCAAAGCCAGCTTGAGGTACAGTGACTTCAAGGACAGCTTGAGCTATGTAAGACTCTATCTCAAAACAAAAGAACCTCTGTTCAATTTTACTTCTACTAAAAACAAAGTTACATTTCCCCATGATAAGAGAGCTCAGCTAGCACTATCAATTCCCTAGTCTTTAAAATAACAGCGCTGGGCTGAGGAGACAGCCAGTGAAAGTCAGGACACACATAAGGACCTAAGTGTGGTACTCAGAACATGGAAAAAGGCCGGGTGTGCAGTGCACACTCACAATCCCAGCACCCAGGAGGCAAGTGGGCAGATCTCTGGGGCTCACTGACCAGGCAGCCCAGCTTCACTGGCAAATTCTGGGCTGGTGAAAATCTGTCTCAAAACCAAACAACAACCTCCTCAAACAACAAACCCAATGTGGATGACAAGTGAGGACTGACGCTAAGGCGGTCCTCTGGCCTCCACCCCATGTATCCAAGTATGTATGCATGTACGTATGTATGCATGCATGTATACTTACACACACACACACACACACACACACACACACACACACACACACACACACACACACAAACGTGTACATACACACACACAGCACCGAATCAGCTGACTATGACATTACTCAATCTCCTTAAGTTTGTTTTATGACCACTAAAGTTCTCCTTACAGCTAGCATTCTAAGAGGAGGAAAAAAATAGTACTATGTTTTTACGATTATTTTGTGAGGTATACACACTTTCATCTCACCCTAATCTTCTTCACCCGAGTAGAGTAACAGTTAGAACAGAGGGGCAAACAGAATTCCAACGTGCTGCCAGGGCCTGTTTCACAATCACGCTTTCGCCAAGAAGCAATCACAATGAAATGGTCTTCTGTACCTTAAAAGGAACAGCTGTGTACCTGTAATGTTTTTTGTCTGATGCTGGTTTTCTGAGGTTCTTCGTGGACACTTTCTGAGGAATCCTCAACCTCATCAGTTTCTGAGGATGAAGGACTCTCTACCGTCACAGTCACAGGAAAATCTGATTGCTTAAACAAAGAGGACATGACTTATTAATGCCATAAGCCAAACACTAAACACACAGAGGCCATCTAATGAAATTGACCTGTCTGAAATATCTAGTTATTACCTATAAAGGGATCTCACTGCTCCCTAGCCTAACACAATAAGTAACAGAAAACTGCCCCAACTTTGTTTTTTCTTTTTGGTTTTTCAAGACGGAGTTTCTCGGTGTAGCTCTGGCTGTCCTGGAACTTGCTCTGTAGACCAGGCTGGCTTTGAACTCAGAGATCCGTCTGCCTCTGTCTCTGCCTCCCTAGTGCTGGGATTAAAGGCGTGTACCACCACCACCCAGCTACTAACTTATTCTTGCTATTATTACAGAATTTTTACTACATAAGGCTGATTACTGGTTGGCATTGTCCATATTACTTTGCTAAATTCCTCCTAGATAAATCAAGTGAAGAGGCAGGACAAACACTTTTTTTCAGGTCAATTCTTGTACTACAGATGATAAATTTACTCTCTAATGTGAGACATGAAGAGTATGGAAGTATAATTTTTAGGAGAAAAAGAATGAACAGAATATAAAGCCAATAAGCTTATCTGTAACTGATAAATGCTAGAATGGTTTTAAAAACTAAGTCACGGGGCTGGAGAGATGGCTCAGAGGTTAAGAGCACTGACTGCTCTTCCAGAGGTCCTGAGTTCAATTCCCAGCAACCACATGGTGGCTCACAACGATCTATAATGAGATCTGGTTCCCTCTTCTGACCTGCAGTCATACATGCTATATACTAAATAAATAAATCTTAAAAAAAAAAAAAAAAAAAAAACTAAGTCACATACATATATACAACCCACCAAACACCTCATCTTCACTTCTCTGCACCGCAAACTAGTGTAGTAACAGACAGTATGGTTCTCCTGTCAGCTTCGACAACAACCAATGTGATTAGAACCCCACTGAAAATGTACAGACTGAGGCAGTGCAGGGGCAACTCTGCGGGATACGCAAGCCTTCGGTGACAGCACGAGATGACGCCGGAACGGTTCGGTGTGCACAGCCTAGTGCTGACACCGGGCGGCACATTAGCCGTTCTCCTCCCTTCTTCGAGAATCTGTGACCTCCATGAACAGGAGGACGCAGCACTCTGACAGAAGTAGCCTGTCCCAGAACTGAGGCAGTGGGAAAGTGCTGGGAGATGCTGGCAAAATGGCTTTACCAGAGGCCATGGGAGTACTGAGCAGGTAACAGCTAGTGTTCAGCATTAATAACTCTCTGACGGGGAGCCCCACCTGGCAAAGCTGTGGGGTCACTGACTGTAAATGACTGGTTGCTTCTCTCTGTCATTTTTCTCATATGCCACTACATTTCTTCCCTAGTAACAGCTATGGTATTTTTTCACACTGCTTGTGGGTTTATCTCATAGAAATAATCCATCTTTGGGCACACATATAGCTGTGGATGATCAGGAAGATGATTTCTGCTTAAGCTCTATAATTCTGATGATAGAAATAATACTAGGATATTTTTCATAACTGACATAGGAAAGTAACAGTATTCTCAGTCACAAAGACAGATAATTTTAGACCTCAGAATAAATTCAAAACACACTAGCTGTCCCTGCAAATAAAATACAAAAGGACAAGTTCCCAGGTGTTTATTGCTGAATCAAGGTCAGACACGAAGCAACTTTGGTAGACATAAGCCCCTGCAGTAATTGATTTTCTGCATATATTCCCACCACTCAAGGTTCAGCAAATAAACTGTTTATTGCTTAGGTCCTGGGTTTTATGCTACTTTCTGTCTGGGAACCCTGACCACTTAGAGCTATGATGGGGGAATGAATGTCTTTTTGTATGCTGTGAAAAAACGCTGCTCTGATTGGTTGATAAATAAAGCCATTTGTCCTATGGTAAGGCAGCTTAGAGGCAGGTGGAAAATCCAAACAGATAGAGAGAGAGAAGAAAGACAGAGAAGAGCAGACACTGCCAGCCGCCACCATGAAAAGCAAGATGTAAAGGTACTGATAAGCCACAAGCCACGTGGCAAAGTATAGATTTATAGAAATGGATTAATTTAAGATATAAGAACTAGATAGCAGGAAGCCTGCCATGGCCATAGTTTAAATATAATATTAGCCTGTGTGTGTTTATTTCGGTTCGAGCGGCTGCATGACCAGCGGGTGACAGAGGTTTGTCCTGACCACAGGCCAGGTGGTGCGACCTCCCTAGCCTGAGAAAAACTGTGTGGCTTATCATGGGTCATGAGAATGGGTTGGACTTCAAAAATGTAACATATAATTGTCCAGAGTTTGGCTGTTGAAGTGTGTGTGTGTGTGTGTGTGTGTGTGTGTGTGTGTGTGTGTGTGTGAGAGAGAGAGAGAGAGAGACAGAGACAGAGACACTGAAAGTGTGTAATGCATGCACATACCCAAAGCAACATTTCTAGAAAACTGCAACATTTTTAAGTGGTCATCCCTGTGACAGTAAGAAACTGTGGTCAAACCTAATTGTGAGCATCAGCTTATTTGTTGCCTGGAGAAATGGTATCTACAGATGGACCCACAAGGCCTCCCCAGTGTGTGTCATATACATATAACTGGACCATGGCACTGGGACAGGAATCGGAAAGCTTTAAATCCATTTATTTCAGGGAGGGACATCCATTTACAAAGCTCTATTCAGTGGACCCTGCACTTCTCCTACTCCAATCTCTTCTATGTTAGAAATATGACCCATACATACCTTCAGATGATTAGATACATCACGAGTTCTGTATAACGGAAAACCCCTAAAAGGATATCAACAAATAAGTTATATTTTGATGTATACACACTACGTGATTAAACTTATTTGCATTATATACAATACCCATATAGAACCAGAGTACTAAATACCTCAAAATAACCCACGGAAAAGCCTGAACAGATTGAGCAGAATGCCTTGGTGACAGGTTACTCAGATTGGTGGATACCGTCTGTTTTGTCGCCTTTCCTTAGGGCACTCCTTGGCAGAGGCTATGCGTGAGTCACCCCTCTCCACTTACACAATCAACAGGACTCCTTGTACCAGACGCTCCCAAGTGACAGCTGTCGGGACTAAGGCACAGGGCAGAGAACACCTCACCTGCTTCTTTTTGCACGTTCTGCAGTGCGCCACGGCAGGAAACCAGACACGCCCGGCGGCGGCAGAGACTGCGGAGTGTAGCCGTCATTACTGAGCCCCTGCTTTCTCCCGTTACTCACAGGTTTCTTTGTTGCTAACCCTGTGTTCAAGGACGTGACAGAAGGAAATCAGGATGCACTAAAGGTCTACAGATTACCATTCGCACACTCCTAACACAACACAAACAACAACTGACTGTGAGACCAAGGCTGTACAGTGTGAGTGATTTATAAACTTTGCTTTTTAAAACAGGGTTTCCCTGTGTAGTTCAGGCTACACTTGAAATCACAACCCGCCTGCCTGTGCCTTAAAAGTGTGTGGATTACAGGAATGCCTGCCAAAAAAGGCTGAAAGTTACTGAGTGGATGTTGTCCTCATTTCTACACGTGAGTTTAGAGAACACACACACACACACACAAAATATTAGATAAAAGAATGAAATGAGGGGCTTACCTTAAACTCAACACTAAGAGTTAAACATGAAATATTTGTAGCAGGTAAACCCATATATTGACACTAATTTATTAGAACAAATCATATATTAAAGTTCAAGTTTTTGTCTCTGATATCATTGAGAACAAATAACAAAGGTTTACTAAAACAGTTACATTTAATCTTATCCCTGGAGATCAAGAGTTCTAGACCAGTCTTAGTAAGATCCTATTTCAAAAAGAAAAAGTAATAAAAGTAAAATAAAACAGAAAGATCGTATATATTTATTTTTATATATATATATAATATATATATAAAATATATATATATCCCTCTGACCTGTTACACTGTGTAAGTTTAGCAGTGCTGAGATGTCATCTAAAATGAAGCATATGCAGTAAGTCATGTATTTCTTTTCAAGGTCATTTTTTTGAAAACCACACCGACTCGTGCATGTGTGCTGGGGCGTGCAGGTGGCCATTAGGGGACAACCTGCAGGAGTCAGCAATCTCCTTCCACCATATGGGAACTGAGACCTGAACCCAGGTCGCCAGGCTTGCTAACAACTGCCTTCGCCCGCCGCCGCCATCTCAGCGGCCCAAGACGGGTACTTCACAGAGTGTAACTCACCGATCATCACCACACAGTCCTGTACCACTTTCTGCATACATTCGTGCAACTAGTAAATTACAGGAACTCTGTTCAGTCTGTGCTACTGCGGTTTTCATTTTATTACTATTATTTTTTAAGACAAAGTCTCATGTAGCCCAGGCTAACCTCAAACTTGCTGTGTAGCTGAAGATCCCCTTGACCTTCTGATTCTCCTGCCTCTACCTCCCAAGTGCTTCTATGTTTATTTTTAAGTTAGTTACCTTTACAGAATAAACATTCTGGTCTATGGCAGTATATGTGTATCATTTCTTTGATTTTCAGAAAAATGTTAACATATTTTTAATTACAACTAAAAAAGTTTGTATGTATCTTGTTAGCTGAAAAAAAAAAAAAAACTATAGTAAAAGTTCTTATCAACTTCTTGAACATGTACTCCCAACATAACTATAATACAATTAACATACAAGCTCTGTCCTCACCGAACTCTACACAGCAAGGCCCTGGTCGGCTGACCTCCATGTCTCCAGGTAACTGAGGCAGCGAGCAACAAAGCCAAGCAACAAAGTTCCTCTCACTCGGTGGCCTCTAAACTGCAGCCACAGCTCCGCTCTCCCCAGGAACACGACGCAAATTCTTGCTCTTCCAATTGTCTCATGCCTGGCTACATATCATTACCACAAACACAGAAATGCACACACTGCACACCCTTTTTACTGCACTTTAGAATATTGTATCAAAGCACCAACTGAAATACTTTTAATACTTACTTATGTTACAAACTTTAGGTACTAGCATGATACTCCAAATCCCCACTTACACAGTCTATTTGACTGCTCTGAACTCAAAGCAGGCAGCCTACACTTTCTCTTCAAACAGCAAGCACTCAGAAACTGTTCAGGACACTCATTACTATTTACTACAAATTAACTGCTTAATTCAAATATACTTCTTTTTTAAGACAGGGTCTCAGTTCTGACTGGCCTGGAACTCACTATGTAGACCAGGCTGGCCACAAACTCGAGATTCACCTGCCTCTGCCTCCAGAATGCTAAGGTGCACCGTCATACACAGCCCACGTACATCTTTTAATAAAACAAACATCTTTTAATAAAACAAACTGCATTTCTATGGGTGTTTACAATGAGGTTTGTTTGTTTCGGCTCCATTAGAGGCACAGGAGGGGGAATCCCATGCTTAGTAAAAGGGAAAATCATTTAGGACCAATGGTCTCTTTACAAGTGAGAGATGGGCTTGGAGTCATATGCAGCACAGGACCAGGCAGAAGCTTGAGAACCAAAAAACCCCCACCAGTCAGATTTTAAAGTTATTTACTATTTAATTTTTCTCAATATTTCATCAACTTAAAACACCGACCCATCACCTCAGTGAAACTCTCTGAGTGCCTTAAAAAGCACAGCCCTGAATTGTAAGACCACAGTATAAAGTGACAGGATGTCAGTCACATCTGATTCATGGGGAACTTTATAGAAAACAATAGAAAGGAAAATGCATTTTTTCCAAGGATAACGGTCCTGGAGGTGCTCTTCAACTGTGCCACTGTTACGCTAATGTCTTTATGTAAAACCTGAACAAAAATCTTCAAACACATTTTTCTGCAAGTGTATTAAATGCGCATAAAATAAAAAAATCTCAACATTAACTACCTTTTTTTAAAAGATGGTGTGTGTGTGTGTGTGTGTGTGTGTGTGTAGCCCCTGGCTGTCCTGGAACTAGCTCTGTAGGCCAGGCTGGCCTCTGCCTCCTGAGTGCTGGGATTATGGGATTAAAGGCGTGAGCCACCACCACTTGGCTTCATTAGCAATATGTAAGTTCAATGCTACTATATTAAGCATCCGTTTTTTAAATTTCAGGTAAAGAAGTAAGCAAAACATTATTTTTATTATTGTTCAGGTATCTTGATATATATGACATCATACAAAGTCACCACAAACATCATTTTGGAAGTGGGTAACAGTAAACATAAAACTTATTTTGTTGCTTCTATTGTAGTCTTTATGGTTTTACCATAAAGACTTTGAAAATTCAAGAGCATTAAAAAAAAAAAAAAAGCCCCTTTCTTACTAGACCTGGATTCGTTCCCACTGTCATTCTTTCTAATCACATTAGGTGTGCTAAAGGTAACACACGTTCCAGAGCTGGAGTGTAGCTCAGCTGCTACAGTGTTTGCCCAGCACGTATAAGGCTCTAAATTACCTCCTTATTCATTACCACGTAAGACTAGGTATCGTGGAGCATGCATGTAACCCCAGCACTCAGGCCACCCATGGCTACACAGTGAATTCAAAACTATCCTGGGCCAAGACAAGACAAAGTGTTTTAGAAGATAAGTTACCGCCATGATTATGCCTATAACTCTAGCACTTAGGAGGCAGAGACCAGAGACCAGAAAGTCACTGCAAATTCAAAGCCAGTCAGAGGAAGACTCTGTCTCAAAAAAATATTAAGGACTTTTTAGAAATACAAAAATATCAGAGCCAAATTACATAAAAGATATATATTTAGAAGAACCTGAAGTTTATGCTATAGACATTAGTCTTCATCAGGTTTTCTCAATTATTATATGAGTATATGTGCCAGTGTGTGTGTGTATGTGTGGAAGGGGGGGTCCAGAATAACTTGTAGGAGCTGGTTCTCTCCTTCCACCTTGTGGGTTCTAGGGTGGAATGCAGATTGTTCTGCCTGAGGGAGGTGCCTTTACCTATGTGCCAGCAAGAACCTTTCAATTTGTACTCAATTACAAAACTAATAGAAGGCTTGAAGTTTAGATTAACTAATACTTAGAAGTTTATTTATATATATAACGCACACTAGAGACTTGTGCTGGCTAGTTTTATGTCAACTCAACACAATCCAGAGTCATTTGGGAAGAGGAAACATCAACTGAGAAATGCCCTCACAAGAATGGCCCATGGGCTATTTTCTTAACTAATGATGGATGCAGTTCTGGGGTGGTCCTGGGGCATCTAAGGAAGCAGGCTGAGCAAGCCACGAGGAGCAAGCCTGTATGCAGCATGCCCCATGGCCTCTGCCATCAGCTCCTGCCTCCATGTTCCTGTCCTGAGTTCCTGTCCTGACTTCCCTGGATGATGGACTGTGATGTTGTAGTGTAAACTGAAATAAACTCTTCCCTCCCCACGCTGCTTTTGGTCATGGCATTTTGTCCCAAAATAGAAACCCTAATGAAAACAAAAATGTTTTTCTAGCTGGGCATGGGGATGTTTACCTGGAACCCAAGACTTTAAGATAAGAGATCACAAGCCCCAGGGCAGTCTGGGAAACACAGCAAGAACAAATTTAAAACCAGCAAGCCTTCCCAAAGTGTTCCAGCAGAAACTTGTCTTTAACATTGCTTTACATTAAGGCTTTTACAGCACTAAAATGTGTTATCCGATTCAGTCACTTTAAAAAAAAAAAAAATCAACCTGTGGATGTGGCTCAGTGATAGAGAACTTGCCTCCCATGCATGGGGTCCTGGGTTCTATCCCCAGCAACTGTTTGCTAAACCAGCATCAAAGGGCATTCTAAATCTCAACCGTGCATCATGAAAAATAATCACCACTTGGGAGACAGTCAAGATGATGAATATTTAAAAAAAAAAAAATCAAACAGTAATGGTAGTTAGTTAAAAAAACAAAAAAGAAAAACAGAAATCCTTCCAAATGATTCATTTAATACTTCTACATGCCATGAATTTTCATAACCTAGATTAGAATAACTATAGTTTAGGCCTCAGAATATGCTGTCATCAACATTGGTTATTACCGAAGAGATGAGACTTGAATATTAATGTCCTAAAAACATGCTAGGTGTAAGTTGTGGTGCCACTAAAAAGCCAAGACAGACAGTCAGTTACCGATTCTAATGGTAGCTTTTCCTTTCCGACTGTTTCCAAGGACAATCGTTCTCTTTCTCTGCTTCGCGGTTTTCGGCGGCTCCTTCACTGATGGGGACGTTATCCACTGGTACTGGAAGAGAGAGCCAGGGGACGTCAGCTATGGGTCACAAGAGGACCCCACTTTAACTGGGCATGAGGAAGATATTTTACACGAATAAAGCTTTGCAATTTGCAGTTCTCAGATCCCAAATGAAATAATGATACAATATTTAAAAACAGAGAGAAAAGCCCCCTGATTTGGGGGCAGCTGTGCTCATCACTACACCACCAATGTGCCATAGCCATTGGGTTTTACGTCAGACAGCAGAAAAGGATCTTGGCAGTTTTACTAAAAGCAGAAGAAAACTGTAATTACAGAGACCTTCTTTTCGTAGGACTGAAACAAGTTATACCTCTGACTTGGCACTCCTTCCATTCTGGAGAACTTTTTTGATAACCGCTTTCATCACAGAATGGTCTAAAGTAAAAGAAACGTGAGACTGTTCAGGTGTTTTCCAGTGACTGACCACTCCCACTAACAACAGAAGTCCACTAACCACTGCTTTTCCCATAAACCACCTAAAGCACAGACTCATTTCTGCTTCTGAGCGCTCCTCTTCCTCACACACTCAGTTAACTGTAACGCTTTGCCTACATCCACCAGCACTTTAGGTCTGAAGTGGCTTTGGAAGCCTCTGCACAGAAACCAGAGGTTGCACCAAATGACAACTAATATAGCCAAACCAAAGTCATGATATGGCCTCAACGATGCTCCTCTCCAGCTTCCCTTTCTCAGTAAACGGCACCAGCATCTTGTCCAGGACATCTGAAAACAACTACTTCCTCCATAGCCAACATCTAATCTGCCTGCAAATCTTCTTACTCCCTGTTTCAACCTTCTGGCATCCTCCAGCCCTTCCACCATGAGCTAAGCCACAATCCCCTCTGGCTTGGACTTCTAGGCCAGCCTCCTAACTAGTCCCCATCTCTTCTCCCTGGCCCCACTACTATCCTCCACAGCACGGTCACCTGACTGAAACACTACTCAGATCATGCCTTTTCTACCTCAACTTTGTAGAGGCGCTGTCAGCTCACTGAGACCAGCCATGCCCTTACCCTGGCATTGAAGACCTTACACTATCAAGTCCCTGGCCCTGTTTGACCACACAGTGCATCAGCTTCTCCCACAGGTTTTCTTTTTCTTAGAGATTCATTTATTAATTTATTTGTATGTTTGTCTGTCTGCTTGCTTGTTTGGGCACCAAGTGCATGCAGTGGCCATGGAGGCCAGAAGGGGGCAATGGATCCCTTGGAACGGCAGTCACAGGTGGTTGTGAGCAGTTGGCGTGGGAGCTGGGAACCAAACCTGGGTTATCTGCAACCACAGGAAGTGCTTTAACTACTGAGCCATCCCTCCAGCCCCAGCCTCCCTTTTCCTCAAGTACTCCATCCATCCTGCCATCTCGTACCTATACGCTGACTGCTTCCGTGTCCCGCAATGCACCTCCCTCAGAACATCCACGGCACACTCTTCTTCTCTTCACTCTGTTTTCCACTTACGTGTGAGTTCTCCAGCTGAGTTCCCCATCTGTCTTCTTAAATTATCTTTGCACTTTCTACTATCTGAAATTCTTTATCTACTTATACATTTACATTTGAACCCCCTTACCAATGGAGAGCAAGACTTTGTCTAGCTAGTACACTGTAAAATGCTTAATATCTGAACCAATGTTTTGACACATACAAGATTTAAAATTTCTCTACAAATTAGCAAACAAATGAAATGTTCTTTCCAAGAGTTCAGAGATTCAGGGGGACGTGAGGAGAGTGCTCTTGATAGAATCAGTCTTATTATCTGGGCTCACTTGGAATAAGTAGCCACCAGAACAATTAGTTTCCAAGTATAAATCATTTAAAGCAATGTATTATCTGATAAAAGCACAAAATTACAAAACTAGAAAATAAACATTAAGTTTTAAAATTTTTCATGACACAAATTGACTTCGTTATGCCATTTGTTAATTAATTTTAAAGAGATGACATACTGATAAGTGGGTTTTTTCTTATATCCAGAACGACCAGGGTTCTGTTGGTCTCGAGGGCCTCCAATAAAGCCTTGGCTCCTTCACTGCTGAGGCCACACTGCTGCAGGTCAAGCGCTGTTGACAAAGACAACAGGTCACTTGCTGACTCCACACAGTTTAACATACAGACAGTTCTCATTCATGTTTAGGACATTCCTGAACAAGACTAGTCACAGCGGTGTTTAAATCTTGGGTATTAAAAAAAAAAGGAAATCAGAAAAGCATATGAAACCATACAATAAAAAAAAAACCTCTTCTATGATGTGTTACAGTGACCTTACCCCAGCCCCAAGCTAATAATAATAATAATAATAATAATAATAATAATAATAATAAAAAACTCCCCACTACATGAGAGAAAGGATCACACAATGAGTATCATTTCATGATTAACAAGGATGTTCATGGCAGTGTAAACAATGCACTTAATTCTTGGACTCATAATCCTGAATTCCAAAGAAATCTCAGAAAACTACACTTTAAGAAAGAGAGAGGCTGGAGAGATGGTTAAGAGTACTGCTGCTCTTCCAGAGGACCTAGTTTCCATTCCCAGCACCCACATGGCAGTGCACAACTGTCTGCAATTCCAGTCCCAGGAGATCCAGTGCTCTTCTATGGCCTCTGTGGGCAGTAGGTATGACTGTGGTATACAGACATACATACAGACAAAACACCACATCAATAAATAAAGAGTTCCTGCCCTGACTTTCCTTTAGGAAGGACTGCAAACTGTAAGTTAAAAAAAAAAAAAAAAAAAACCTTTCTTTCCCAAGTTGTTTTGGTAAGTGCGCTAGTTTGACTAAGAATGGCCCTCATAGGCTCATATATTTGGTCACTAGGGGTAGGCTTTGAGGTGTCAAAAGCCCATGCCACAGGGCGGTGGTGGCAAACACCTTTAATTCCAGCACTCAGAAGGAAGAGGCAGGTGGATCTCTGTGAGTTCGAGGCCAGCCCGGTCTACAGAACGAGATCCAGGAGAGGTACCAAAACTACACAGAGAAACCCTGTCTCAAAATATATATATATCCCATGCCAGGCCCAATGTCTCTCTCTCTCCCTGCTGCCTGCAGATCAGGATATAGAACTCTTAGCTACTTTCCCAGCTGACAATGTGACTACACCTCTGAAAGTGTAAGCAAGCCCCCAACTAAATGCTTTCTTTTGCAAGCGTGGCCTTGGTCATGGTGTCTCTTCACAGCAACAGTGACTAAGGACAGTAAGTCTTCCAGCACAGCAATAGATAGTAGACTAGACTAAGAAAAAGGAACAAAGGCAGCCTTGCACAAGCTGGAGAGAGCTGACTCTAAAACTGATCTGCCCCCTGCCTGACTCTGGACTTTCCAAGGCCCCAGAACTAGCAGAAATAAACTCCTGCTGTTTAAACCACTGGTTTATAGCACTCTATAACAGCCCAAACTAAGACACCTCTTGACACAGAAGAAAGGTATACCTAACTAACCAAACAACCCAGAGCCAGTAAATGTCACCAGAACATCAAATGAAGCCCACCTATAGTGATGAACCCTGGGGTAGCAAGGTGACAGGCAGTAAAGGCACTTGCTGCCAAGCCCAACAGTTCCGAGATAGTTGATTACAGTGTGTAAAGATGTGTCACTGTGACTGGTTTAATAAAAAGCTAAACAGTCAATAGCTAGGCAGGAGGTATAGAGGGGCTTCTGGACAGAGAGATGGGGTGATATTGTGTTCCCCAAAATACTGTGCACCCTAATAAACTTATCTGGGGTCAGAGAACAGAACAGCCACTAGACAGACATAGAGGCTAGAAAATGGTGGCACTCACACCTTTAATCCTAGCCTTCTGGAGGCAGAGATCCATCCGGATCTCTGTGAGTTCAAGGCCACACTGGAAACAGCTAGGCATGGTGACTCACACCTTTAATCCCAGAAAGTGATGGCAGAAAGCAGAAAGGTATATAAGGCATAAGGACCAGGAACTTAAAGCCGGTTAAGCTTTTAGGCTTTTAGCAGCAGTTCAGCTGAGATTCATTCTGAATGAGGACTCAGAGGCTTCCAGTCTGAGGAAACAGGATCAGCTAAGGAACTGGTGAGGTGAGGTAGCTGTGGCTTGTTCTGCTTCTCTGATCTTCTAGCATTCACCCCAATATCTGGCTCTGGGTTTGCTTTTATTAATAAGACGTTTTAAGATTCGTGCTACAGAGAGAGCTCTGGGAAGAAGAAAGGGGGAGTCGCCAGACAGATGTTGAGGAAGCAGAGTAAAGGTAACCGAGCCACGTAAAATAACGTAGATTAGAAGATATGGGTTAATTTGTTATAAGAGCTGGTGGGACAAGCCTAAGCTATAGGCCCATCTTTCATAATTAATAATAAGTCTCCGTGTTGTTTTTTGTGAGCTGGCGGCCCAAAGAAAAATCTGTCAACATCAGGCCACTCAAGTTTCATCCTTGGAGCCTTCATGTTTGGAAGGAGAGATCAATTTTGGCAAGTTGTCCTCTGACCTCCACCTGCGCACTGTGGCAGGACATGTACTTGGAGCACACCCTAAGTAAATAATACATGGTTTGTTTTGGTTTTGTTTTGTTTTTTTAATCTTAAAATTAAAATAGCAGCCAGCACTCAGGAGGCAGAGGCAGTTAGATCTCTGGGAGTTCAAGGCTAGTCTGACATACACAGCAAGTTCCAAGCTAGCCAGGGCTATCTACTAAGACTGTCTAAAACAGACAAACAAACACCCCACATATATAGTATATATATTTGATTATATATTATATAGCATATATATTAAAATAACAGCAAACTGTTGATTATTTACGTAAAGATCATATATGAAAATCCTTTAAAATGTGCATATAGCAAAAAAAAATTTTGTGGTACTATGTGGCACGCAAGGGCACCTGCATTCTAGATAAGGCTGGTGCTGAGCTCAAAACTGAGTACTAGATCACACACACACACACACACACACACACACACACACACACACACCCCTACCTGTAAACAAAAATAGCAGGGTTATAAAACATCAAGTTTGCTATAACTATTGCTATAATCTCTAAATGTACAAACATCTATTTTTTTAAAGGCTGAAAATATGCCTAAATGAACAGTAGTTACTTCTAGATGTTTTGATTACAGGTAACACTGTTTTCTATGGAGAATATATATGACTTTAAAGGTACAAGAAAAGCTACTGGAGGATTTTCCATTTCTGAAGCTCATTTAACTTACCTCTAAGCCACAAATCCTCACTAAGAGAGTCTGCAAAAGCACTTGCACCCTGGTCACCAATCAGCGTGTTGCAATTCAGCGTGATGCGCCTTAAGCCAGCCATGCCGTCAAAATCGGGCCTCCTGTAGCGAAGACTCTCAGCCCAGGTTTCTTCGTGCCTTCTCATGGTCTGGTACTTCAAAGATAACAGCGTGGAGGGAGTCAGGTGCTGGAGAAGGAAACGGGAAACCTAAAGGGGAACTAGGCATGCTGATTTTACACACACCACATCCCCTAAATGCAAACATGCCACAGTCTGCCCTCAGAAGGGCCCAGCACAGGGCTCAAGTCGTGAGAATAGTCATGGGTAACTGCTGCTCAACCGTTATGTAAACCAACAACTCACTAAACTTGAACATCCAAAGAGAAGAGCACCTGTGACAGGACACTAAAGGGACTCATGTTAATGTCATTTTCCTATTCAGAGTAGCCACATGAGGCACTGAGCCACAGCAGGCGCTACACAGTGCTGCCTTAGGGAGGACAGCTCACGAGACCCTCAGAGTGAACGGCGACTTCACAGAGGTGAAGCAACGCGTCCATGCTCACAAGATACTACATGGGTCAGGGCTTCCCATCCACACTTAGCTATTCAGTAGGTGAGGCAGGCGCATCAGAGGTCCAGTGTCTCTCAGGGCTACAGAGTGAGCTCAAGGCCAACCTAAGCAACTTAATGACAACCAGTCAAAAATGCTGGGCTATATTTCAGTGGTAGAGCACTTGCCTAAGGTGTGAAGTCTTAGTTCAATCCTCAACATAAAAACAAATACCATTCCCCAAAAACCAAAACAACAAAAACCTCACAAAATCAAATCACCACACGAGAAAACAGAATCCATGCTCTTGACCATTATTTATCAGAAGGGTCAAAGCGTTTACTTTGTAAAGGTCCAAAAATAAACGTTCTCAGCTCTGTGGGTCTGAAACCAACTACTGAATTCTCCTGACATAAGGCAAAAGTAGCCAGCTACGACACAGACAACTAGGCGGGATTGTGTTCCTCAACACCCTTACTTGCAAAAAACATGTGACAGAACCAGGCAGTGGTGGCGCATGCCTTTAATCCCAGCATTCGGGAGGCAGAGCCAGGAGGATCTCTGTGAGTTCAAAGTCAGCCTGGTCTACAGAGCAAGATCCAGGACGGGCACCAAAACTACATGAAGAAACCCTGTCTCAAAAAACCAAAAAATAAATAAATAAATAAATAAATAAAAGCCAGCCAAGGGGACACAAGGTGACACACACACCTCTAATCCAGCAGTTGGGAGGCTGAGGAAAGAGGACTGAGGCAAGTTCCAGGCTACCATGGGCGACACAGCCAGTCCAAGCAGCCTGGAGCACACAGCAATGTCCTGTCTCAACCCCTACTAGCCCCAAACAAGCAAGCAAACAAACAACAAAAAAACCTACAAAAAAGGCTTCGTGTCAAATTGGTAAGTACCTTTAGTCCTAAAGTAGTAGTTATAAGATTTATAAGGAATTTATGAACTGTTTTTATTAGTTTATAAATCACAATAGAGTGGCGTCAGTATCTGGAGACTGTAACAGTATGAGGTTTCCTTCAGTGCTGCCACGTTTCAACAACCAAAATAACAAAGAAGTATTATACTTTGAAGTCTCGTTTCTAAGATTACGTGGTATCTTTAAGAGGCAGAATCCCAAGCTGAACAACGGTTACATCATGCGATGAAACTCAAACTGCAACCTCCGTATGGATAAAAGAAAACAAACAAACAAAAAACCTCACTGCAACCCCATACCAGAGCAGTATGTGCCTCAACCACATCAGTCACTCAAGCTGAACGGACAGTCACCTTTAAGATCTTGGCTATGTGACCGGCGCCTTGCCATGTCAGATTACATCCTGTGAAGTTGACGGTCTTGAGAGTGGCAGAGTTCTTTATCCCTTGACAAACAACTAAAAGGAAGAGAAAAAGGCACACAGTGAGGCCGAGAGCCCGCCGACCTGCCAAGCGTGGCTTATGCACTGTCCTCGGTCTATGCTAGTTTAGAGACTACAGACGCCTACAATCACTCTACAGCCCTCCCTGGCACTAACAGAGTGGCTGCAATTTGTCAGTGACAAAGCACTGTTCTAAATTACAGCAAAGGCTTGATTCTACTAACTTGCCAAAACTGAACACTTTAAATATTGATATACGGACATTACAATTGCATTATACAGCTGGGATAGTGGTGCACGCCTTTAATCCCAGCACTTGGGAGGCAGAGGCAGGTGGATCTCTCTGAGTTCGAGGTCTACCTGGTCTACATAGAGAGTTCTAGGCCAGCTGGAGCTACATAATGAGACCTTGTCTCAAAAACCAAAAATAACTGCATTAGAGTTGCTCTACTTGGAGATGGTCGTGTCTTTTTGTTCTCTTTACCCTACTCTTGCCCTCACAAATATTTCTCTCTCTTTTTTTAATTTTTCGAGACAGGGTTTCTCTGTGTAGCCCTGGCTGTCCTGGAACTCGATCTATAGACCAGGCTGGCAAAGGCCTGCCTGCCTCTGCCTCCCAAGTGCTGGGATTAAAGGTATGCACTACCATGCCTGGCTCCCACAAATATTTCTTAAAGGAAAACCATAAACTATGAGCAGACACAAACAGCTTGATTTATGGCATTTCACAACCTTAAAGAAAGCGCAGACAGTCTTAGGCATGATAAGCTTTCCCGGTAGCAGTGAGAACAGATCAGCATCTGAGCAGGCGCAGGAGGCAGCTCAGGCCGAGCAAGCAGCCCACCAAGGCAGACAGGGGTCACCAGAGCACACAGGCAAAATGACAGCAGCCTCACGGGAAACAGTTAAATGACTTGACTCACTTTCTAAGCCTCCATCTCCAATTGGACAATTGGCAAGAGACAGGTGCACCAGAGAGGCTGATTTACTCAATCCCTTAACAGAGGAAAAAAGTAAAATATGAATTGCATATTTTCCCACCAAAACCAGCTACCAAGTGTCTGCGGGTCACATGAACAAGGCTTACCTTTGTTAGAACAGCCAAATCCCTCTCTCTCAGAACCAGCCCATTTAGCTCCAGATTTCTTAGCACACTTGATGAACTCAGGCAGCCTTTAAGAGCCTTACATAACTGGAAGCTCACGTCCTTGGATCTTACCGCAGGAACCCGATTTCTGCAAACTCTGTGTGTATCAGAATCTAAAACAAATTCATTGTAAAATCAGTGATGTCAGCCATACAATTTTAGTCTTCAACTCCTAAGCACTGAAGTACAGAAATGAACCATGTCCTTAAACAGAAAATTCAAAGCCGCATGAGATATAGAAACATAAACCATGCATGGCATGGTTTCTTACGGAGGCAAAGAATCTACACCCAAGGGATGTCTTCAAGAAAACCCTCAATTTGCATATAGGAGAAAGAGGGAGAGTAGACTGTGCAGAGGGTTCCAAGCCTGACACCTGCTGGACAGTATAAATACTGCAGGTGTGAGGGACCCTTCAGGATAGAAAAATGAAATTCCAAGGCTGAGGCAAGTCTGCAAGAGTTGGCTTTTTTGACACAGGTGATGAGGACCAAGGTTGCCATTAGTACAGTGAAAATGGTTAGAAAATATGCCCCGCTCTAGGACCAATACACAAAGGGAATGACCAGGGAGAGGCACAGTTAGGAAATACACCCCTTCCAGCAGGCTTAGCTAGAGTGTAGCTCGTATTCCAGTGCCTCTGTAAAGGAGGCAGACGCTGCAGCCAGTATGTGCTGGATCTGGGCTGAGTGAGATCCTCTGCACAGAGGGAAACTGAGTTCAGGAGCAGCAGGGCCAGCCAGGAGTTTCTTCAACAGTACAGGCTGACACAGTTGAGAGATCAAGTGTTAAAATCTACAGTCTAGACCCACTAGTCCTGGATGCAGGACATGGAAACACTGCCAAGGACGTCTGAAGGGAAATGGTCCACAGTCTCCTGACATTCAGCATAAAACACTGGGCAAGATTACGTACGCCTGCCTAGATTCTAAGGCATCTCTCATCTTTCCTTCAATTTGGGTCATTACAATGGCAGTCCAGGGGTCCCTCAGTGGTACAATACTGTCCTTGAAGAAGGGTCACAGATGGTGCTCATCTCACACCCAAGCCAAGGGCCAGGCTCTCAAATAATCACTTCTCCTCCAGGCGGTAGTGGTGATGCATGCCTTTAATCCCAGCACTCGGGAGGCAGAGGAAGGTGGATCTCTGTGAGTTCGAGGCCAGTCTGGTCTACAGAGTGAGTTCCAGGATAGTTAGGACTGTTACACAAAGAAACCTTGTCTCAAAAAACCAATCATCATCATCATCATCATCATCATCACGTCCAGCTTATCACATCTTCTCTCTCAGCTGGTAACCTGCAGACTGCGCTTTAATCCTAAGAATCCACAACAGGCTTGTTTCAATGGCTTGTCAGATGTGTGAGAATTAAGAGTTCAAAATATGAAATTCAAACCCTCGGTTGCCTTCAACACCTGTTTCCCTTACATGATACAACTCTTTAAAAAAAAAAAAAAATGGGGCTGAGATGGCCAATGGATGAAAGTGTGCGCAAGGAAAATGGTGAGGTGAAAGCCAGTAATCCCTGGGAAGCAACAAGAGATGGTCCCTGGGGCAAACTAGCTAGCCAGACAATGGAATCAGCAAATCCCCTGAGTTCAGAAAACAAAAACAACCCTGTCTCAGTAAATAAACTGGAAATCAATAGAGGAAGATACCCAATATCAATTTCTAGCCTCCATGCACATGAGAACGTGTGTGTTTACACACAAAAACGCACATGCGTGCACACACATGCCACATACATCCACACAAAAAATTATTTACAAATCTGAAAGAGGATGTGAAAAAGTAGGTTAGCTGCTGGGAAGACAGCTCAGCAGCGAAGGGCATTTGCTGTACAATCTGGAGGTCTGGAGTTCCAGATCCCAGCATCCACATAAACTAAGCCCCAGGGGCAAGGGCTTGTAACTCTAGTTCGGAAGGGGGCGGAGACAAGCGAGGACGGTTAGGGCTTCCTGGTTTCCAGCCAAGCTGAGAAAACAGCTTCAGGTTCAAGAGACAAAATAATGGGAGTGACTAGAGGACACCCAACACCTCTTCTGGTTTCCCTGTGGGTGCATAAGCTGATACTAAGATACACAAACACACCAATACTTTTAAGAAAAAAGTCAGTAAGGAACCATACATTTTGGATGGTAAATTTTTTGATTGCTGGGCAAGTGTTCATGAATGACTATAGAAGCACCACCAGAGACTTGGCTTGGGGGTTATAAACAATTTAAATACGAGAAACTTGCAAACATGTTATCTTCAGAGACGGCTCGGCCTTAGGCGTACTTGCTGTTCTTGCAAAGGACACAAGCTCGGTTCCCAGCACCCATATGGTGGCTCACAACCATGTGTAATTCTAGTTCCAGGAGTTCCAACCCCTTTTCTGGCACTGCACACACGTACATACACGAAAGCAAAACACTCACACACAATTTTCTAAAAATCATAAAAGACGTCCCTGAAGGGAATTTTTTTGTTTTGTTATACATTTTTTCTTTCCATTTTTAACCCCCTTCTTTTCGGTATTAGGCTTGCAATGAAGAGTGTGGGGAGATCGTAAATGTAAAGCCCTAAAGGAAAGAAGGTGGGGACATTCATGGTTAAACCATTAGCTAAATTATACTATATATTCCCCTCGGGGAGCATAGTTGATCATCCTCCTCGCTGTGATAAGCGCCAATCTCGAGCCCTACTCCCTGTCTTGACTACTCCTCCAGCCAACCGCCAGAGGCGGCCGCCTGCAAGGGAGGCGGCGGCAGACATCCCTTTGTGGATGGGGTGAGGCCGGCTTCGCAGGCTTCTGGTGCACCGGGCTCCCTCCTCTCAGACCGAACCCTCGCACCTCCCGGCTGCAGACCTGTCTCCCCGAGCCAGGGTTGGAAGGAGCTCTTGATGGCCACCAGCGGCAGGTCGCGGTTCACCCTGAGCGTGCTGAGCAGCGGCGCCCAGTCCACCATGCGCAGCCGATCGGCATTGAAGTCCAGCACGCCGTCCCGCAGGCAGGAGCGCACGGCCGGCAGCGGCACCGAGTCCTGCAGCGCGCACAGGTACTCGTAGTGCGAGAAGAAGTCGGCCGCGCAATCGCGCCGCAGCTTCACTGAGTCGATCATGACCCCGCCGCAGCTCGAGGGACACCACCTGCCGCCTCGCGCCTCCTCCCGCCGCGCCCCGGGCGGTTGGCGCCTGCTCCGCCCGCTCTCCGCGCCAGGGCTGCCGTTCCGGCCACCGGCGAGCTCCCGCGGGCGGGCGGCGGGCGGCGCGCGCACACCGCGCTGTGCGTCGGCGCGCTCACTGTGCGTCAGCGCGCAGGCCACGCCCACCAGGGTGCGCCAAGGCCTGTGAGGTAGTGAAGGCTCTGCTGATCGATGCCCTGGTTCGGATGGAATGATGTATCTGAGAAAAGATGCTTAGGAGCACTCCACTGCTTATGCTTCCTCGCCGAGATAATTCACAAGAGGGTTTTCCCAACGCCGTATGCAAACCAGGAGGCTTCCGTCGTTTCCTCTCTACTTTGGGTTAGACAAAGCTGGAGTTTAGCTTACTTCGCATTTTCCATTGATACTGGTTTTCAATGTTACTTCTGTAAATGTACTTGAGGGCGACTCCTGTATCACAGAGAGACCATTTAATGATTTTAGTAGCGTCAGGAACGTTCGGCATTGTAACTATGGAAAGTGAACTTAGGATTCATGCAGCAATGGTGTGGTTCAAAGTTATATGCCTAGGCATTTTCATGTTATTTAGTTGTATATTAAAATGATATCCTCTGGGCAGAAGCAAAGTTAATTCTCGGTAATAAATACAACATTCTGTTTCAGTCCTTTTAAGGATTTGTTTACGGGTATGTGCCTGTTATGCTAACTGTGTGCAAGTGCCCAGAGAGGCCAGAAGACGGCATCCGATCTCCCGGAGCTGCTGTTAATAGGTGGTGGTGAGCTGTCCAGTGTCCAGTGTGGGTACTGGGAACCAGACTCAAAGACTGGAAGAAAAGCAAATGAACTTAAGGGATGAACTGTCTCTCCAGTCCCCATTTCAGTTACTTTTTTTTTTCTGGTTTTTCGAGACAGGGTTTCTCTGTGTTGTTTTGGTACCTGTCCTGGATCTCACTCTGTAGACCAGGCTGGCCTCGAACTCAGAGATCCTCCTGGCTCTGCCTCCCGAGTGCTGGGATTAAAGGTGTGCGCCACCGCCGCCTGGCTACTCAGATACTTTTTTTTTTTTTTTTTTTTTTTTTTTGGTTTTTCGAGACAGGGTTTCTCTGTGTAGCTTTGCGCCTTTCCTGGAACTCACTTGGTAGTGCAGGCTGGCCTCGAACTCACAGAGATCCGCCTGGCTCTGCCTCCCGAGTGCTGGGATTAAAGGCGTGCGCCACCACCGCCCGGCAACTCAGATACTTTTTTTAGAAGATTTGTTTTTATTTTTATTCCTATTCCTGTTGTATGTGTGAATGTGTGCCATGTGTGCACAGTGCTTGGGGAGGCCAGAAGAGAGCGTCAGATCCCCGGGAGCTGGAGTTATAGGTTGTTGGGAGCTGCATAACATAGGTGCTGGGAACGGAACCCAGGTCCTCTGGAAGAGCAGTTAGTGCTCGTTAGGGCTAAACCATTTCTCTCGAACACTTAAAGAAGTTGATAAATTCCTGAGGTATGAGTTTGATTTGCTGTTTATAGGCAAGAGATGTTATGAATGATTGCCTAAATGTCCTGTTATTTGTAAAGTCTTTTGTGTCCACGTTCATTTCTTTTAAAGCTCAGTTTTGTAGTTTTTAGTCTGTCTGTCGTTGGCAAATTGTGAAGTGTTCCATAAATGCAGGACTTTTTCTTCACTTTTGTTCCTTTTGCATGAACGATGAAGGTGATAGCTAACACAGGTAACTAGTACTTTCTATCTCTGGGACATTGTTTTATGCATTATTTTATTTTACTTTTGATACGGTGTCTTGTTGTATAGCCTAGCCTAGTCTGGACTTTGATCCATCCAGAGTGACAGGAACCTAGGAAGGTACCACTACACTCAGTTAATCAGTTTAAATATAGAAGGCTCCACATTCCCCCACAAGGAATATACTGTTATATATCTGCTTTACAAGTGTGGAAAATGAAGAATTGCGAAGTTAGCAGAAATCCAGAGACTTGGCCTGAGTCCTGTATTTGTATCCAATCTCCAGAACAAAGATAGTCCTCAGTCAAGCTTTAGACACTGTGTTCACAACCTTCCTCTCCCACCAGCCGAGTTCTACAACTTTTTACCAACACCACACACACCACATCAGCACCTACTCCACTAAAAATTTTGTACAATATTTAAGTTAAAAATAGATAGTGACTTCGTTTATCCACGACTAGCTTGGAATGAAGCATCACCATTTCTATGGAGGAGCCCATGTAACCAGTCTTCCCATCTCAACCACAGTCTTCTCCGACACGGAGACAGCTGTGTCTCTGAGCTTGCTGGGCCTTTCTGCAGTGCATATCTTAAAAATCACCGCCATTTAGACATGGCATTCTGTCACGTTTTCTCCTATTTGTTGTTCTCTTTGCTGGGTTCATCCATGTTGACGTGTGCTGCTCTACTCCATTTCCCCTGCTGTGTAGGATTTCGTGTATGAGCATACAGTAATTCATCTCTTTTCCTAATATCCATCACTCTCTTATGCTCTCTTTCCCTGTTCTTCTTGAAGTTAATTTTTTTTTTTACTGTGCCAGGCCCTTCTCAGTCTCTCTTCTCTTCTTGCTTACCCATCCTAAGGGGAAAACCAGAGCTTTCTCACTGCACTTGGGGTCAGCTCTGTGTTCTTTAGCTTGGCAGTTGGACGCTTTCATCATTGGAGTAATTTGTTGTTTTGTTTCTTGCTGCATTCCTCCGTGTGTATCTTCTCGGAACACAAGCCATTGCTGGAAGTTTCCAGCATCCTTTCCTCCCCACTGGGCGTAAACACACTGCATCACTATTTATGGGATAACTCCATTTCCCCTACCCCCCAGCATTAGCATGGTGGTACCATACCTGAGGAGCTCTCCCCTTAATCCCTCCTCTCTCTCTCTCTCTCTCTCTCTCTCTCTCTCTCTCTCTCTCTCTCTCTCTCTCTCTCTCTCGTTTAGTGTTCTCTGTCTGCTCTGCTCCCAGGCATGCTGTATCACAGCACTTTGTACGTGCAACTGTTATCCTATTTAGATGTGCCTCTTCCTTAGTCTGTAGCCCTTCCAAGGCAAGGTCCACATCCCAGTCATGCCTGTTTGGCACAGAATTGGTACTGGGAAATGATGAATACACTAATTATTAGAATGACCTCCTCTAGCTCTCTGCAAATCATCACCAGACTGTTGGCTGCCAGTGGGCACAGCTCAGGAAAGGCTCATCTTACTAATCAATGATCTAATTTTTAATTTGAAATTAATTTTCACAAGCTTACTAATTTTCAGTGTGACAAGATTTCTTTGGAAGCTTTGAGTCTTCCCTTTGGTTAGATTATGGTTGTGCTGGCTAGTTTTATGTCAGCTTTACACAGGCTATAGTCATTGGAGAGGAAGGAACCCCAATTGAGAAAAGGCCTCCATAAAATTGGGCTGTAGGCAAACTTTCCTTAACTAGTGATGATGTGAAGGGTCCAGCCCATAGTGAGTGGTGCCACTCCTGAGCTGGTGGTCCTGGGTTCTATGAGAAAGCAGGCTGAACAAGCCACAGAGAGCAAGCCAGTAAGCAGCATTCCTCCATGGCCTCTGCATCAGCTCCTGTCTCCAGGTTCCTGCCCTGGAACTTCTTGTTAACTGTTCTTATATCTTAAATTAACCCATTTCTGTTAGTCTATAAGTTGCCACATGGCTCGTGGCTTACCAGTACCTTACATCTCACTTGTCATGGTGGCGGCTGGCAGTATCTCTCCTCAGCCTTCCACTTCCCAGCATTCTCTTCTCTGCTTGTCCCGCCTATACTTCCTGCCTGGCTACTGGCCAATCAGTGTTTTATTTATTAACCAATCAGAGCAGCACATTTGACATACAGAACATCCCACAGCACTGGGGTCTAGGCCACAACCTGTGGCCATGAGGGTACCCGAGGGTTGTGCTGCCACTGGGACCATGCTGATCTGAATGGCCTGCACTGTTACCTGGAGGGCATGGTGTTGATCAGGTCATGTCTGTGTCTGTGTCCCTACAGCGGCCAGGGTCTGAGTTGATGTCTGTGGCTCCTGTTACCACTTAGGGCTATGTGGATGACCAAGATCTGGTCAGCTACCTGAGACCATATTGGTGTCAAAGGACCATACCAGTGCCAGGGCCATATTGATCTAGATGGCCTGTGCTGCCACCTGAGGACATGGAGACATCTGGGCTTGGGCCGATGCCTAGGGTTATCTTTGGGTCTGTGACCCTGCAGCAGCTGGGGTCTGGGGTGATGTCCATGACTCCTGTTACCACCGAGGGCTCTGCAGATGCCCAGGGTCTGGCCAGTCACCTGAGACCATGTTAGTGTCTGAGGGCCATGCTGCCACCAGGGCCATACTGATCTGGGTAGCCTGTGCTGCCACTGGAGCCATGGTGACCTCTGAGTCTGAGCTGCTGTTGAGGGCCATGTCTTGGTCCATGGTCCTGCTGCAGCTGGGGTCTGTGATGATGCCTATGGCCATATTAGCACAAGGGCTCATTGTAACCATGTTGTGCTGAGACAGCCCTGCCCTTCACTGGCCCTGATATAACTGGTCCTGCCTCTTGCTGGATACTACAGCAGGAGAGCTGTCCACACCCCTCAGGGGAGAGCTGCCCCCTACACACACACACACACACACACACACACACACACACACACACACACACTCTAGAAAGATGGCCCCACTCCTCACCACAGGCATGCACCTCACCTGGGCAGCACACTAGAGCTGACCCTGTTATGGGTGATGCATGTGAGCCAACCCTGAGTGCATGAGAGCAGGAGAGCTGACCCCTCCCCCTCTCATCTGCCATGTGGTGGCATGGGTGAGAAAAAGATGGCCTCCCTTCCCTCATGCATTACCACCTTTGTCAGATGAGAGAGCTGGCCTTGGGGTCATGAGAGTGGGCGGGCAAGCCCTGACCCTCACCAGCTGCAGAACACAAGAAAGCGGGCTTTGCCCACTGTCTGGGAAGCACACTAGAGCTGACCCTGTTGTCTGGACGCAGGTGAGCCAGCCCTGCCTGAAGGTGTGAGAGCAGCAGAGCTGACCCAGCCTCTTCATCATCTGCCATGTGGTGGCATGGGTGAGGGAAAGATGCCCTCCCCCCCCTCCACCCCTTGCTATCTTCAGGAGAGCTGGCCCCAGGGTCACGAGAGTGATAAAACTGTAGCATAGAGGAGAGCAGGACCTTCACCCTCCTGGGCAGCACACTAGAGCTGACCCTGGAGCACACCCCCACCCCCACTACACCCCCTACAGCTTTCAGGAGAGAGGGCCCTGCACCTTGCCTGAGCAAAACAGTAGAGCTGGCCCTGGTGATGTAGTATGGGTGAGCTGGATCTGATGGGTAAAGAGCAGAACTGCCCCCCCCCCCTCCTGCTCCTTGCTGTAGGCTGCAATGGGTGAGCTAACCAAGACAGTGCTGGAGAGCTCATCCAGGTAGTGAGGATGAGGGAAAGCTGGCAAGTGACCTACCCAGCTACCACCCAGGTCCAGAACCAGGGCTGTGAGTTAGCCCACCCCAATATCTACCTCATCTGTGAACTGCTGGAGCATGTGAAGGGAACAAATCTACAGACCCCAAATTTCAGGATCTCCATGACACAGGATAACAACAGGATATCCAAGAGGAGCCCCAATGAGTGCCCATTATCAGTGGTGTAGCATAAGCCAGTGGCCTCAAGCCATACCAATGACTCCAATGACTCGTGGCAATGAAGATTTGCCAGTATGGTCTGTGAAGAAAGGGATCACATCTATTTTGCTCACTCTTGAATCCCCAGCAATGAGTACAGTTTCTGACAATATCTATTTAAGGAATTCATAGGTCAGTTGTAACCCAAGCCTGGCAGTTCTCCTAG